ACGGCCTATGATGAAGTGGTCAGCTTGAGGTGGTGGGTGTGTAGGGAATGTAAGGTGCCTGCCCTTGAGAGAGGTAGGGTACTGAGGCAGCTGCAGGGATGTAGGTCTGTGGTCATGTATAAGGCCCAATCCCACCTGCTGGGCTGGGATAGGAGTAGCTAAGTGGGTGACGTGTGAGAGTGTTTAGCAATTCAGAGATCCTGCTGGTTTGTTCTGAGAACAGGTCTCTAAACAGGTGGCCCTGTCTGTCAAGTTCCTTTTTCTTCCGACACTGGTCCTCCTTATGTCCTTTCTTGTAGCAGTAATTACACCTGGTATCTCGCAGGCAGTTGTTGGCAGAGTGCCCCTTCCGGTGACAGCGAGAGCACAGCCTAGGTGCCTGGGAGGGTGGACTAGGATTTGTTGCACCTCCTGTGTTTCGCAGATTTGTCCTCAGATTCTGCAGCTGGAACTGTGTTAGTGGAGGGTGAGACGGCTGTAGATGTCTTCCTCCTCCACGTCCTCCTCCACGTCTCTCTCTCTCTCTCTCTCTCTCTCTCTCTCTCTCTCTCTCTCTCTCTCTTTACGATATTTACCACGCAAAATGCCTCCCACCCTTCTCCCAGCACTCTAGTTTAATCATACCTCACCTAACACCACATTAAACGATGAGGGGTGGGATTTTTACATTTCAGATGATCATCTGAACTATGGTGGCAGCACATTTCTGGGAAAACAGTCATTAAATAAGTGACGACGAGAGTGTTTCTTTTCTTGTAATAACACCTAAAAAGAATACAGATTTTGCATTCAAAAACATCGTCACTGGAATTTGAAGGTCATTTTCTTAATCTCTTGCAATAAAGATAACTTACGACAATGAGCCTGGCCTTTTAATCATAACTAATTCTCTCTCATCGGAGAAGCCAGGTAATGAATATAAACAAATCAGGAAGAGATGCATTAATGTATAATTATTATATATTTCTTCAGACAATGAATTACTCCTCCATGATGAAGTTGATAAATTAGGCAAACAAAATACTTTGAAGGAAAAAGTAGAGGATAGTATTGCGTCAAGTATTAAAAATATTAAGACAGTTACAGTAAATAATTAATCTGACTCACGAAACCGTAATGACACGATTGCACACAAACCATACCACGGCCGGGGATAGAGCCCGCGATTAGAGAGTGGCTAGTGCGTCGGTCTGAAGTTGTATGACCCTCTGATCGCGAGTTCTATCTCCGTCCGTGGTATGGTTTAATAATTAATCTGAATGTGATAGAAGACTTTTAAAAAAACTTGGTTAGATATATAATTCACAGAGATAACATGAACATAGGTAATCGCATTTACGGAGCTACTTGTAATACAGAGTGATAAATCTTGTAGCAAGCAGACCTAGGCTTAGTTTGATATATACTGCAGTTTGATATATACTGCAGTTTGATATATACTGGACACCCACGATTATCAAAGTAAATACGAAATATGTGTTGGCGACTTTATGGTTACTTCTTGAACGCTATGTGATTCAGTGTCCGCTTATTGAGGAATATAAAGATAGATAATAAACTGTGTGATATGTCAAGGTATCTTTATTAATCAAAATAAAGTTTCAGACGTTTTCAACTAATATACAATTTTCACGAAAATTTTTAGAAATATATCCATATGTACTCCTGTTAACTCCTTTTTTGTTACCCTAGTTTCTAGGCCTTTGTGTATCCAATGCTCATGCGTTACCCTCTACAAGATGGGTAATGTGTGCAAAAAGACCAATAGCTTCTGCAGATAAGCATTCTCTGTTTTTTCTAATTTTCCCCCCTCCCACCCTCATTACCTCCCCCTCACTCCGTCCCAGATTTCACCCCTCTCTCTAATCCCTCCCTATCTCTGTACTTCCACATTTTCTCCATCACTACCTCCCTTCCTACCTCTTAGCCTTTCATTGCTCCCTTCTTCTTCATCCTTCCTTCTCGCCATCTCCTACTCTCTCTGTTCCATTCTATCCAATATAGCACGGTTTCTACTGCAGGGTTGATAGCCCAGAGCACAGGCCGGGTAATGTAGCCCGCAGTGTAGCACGGGATGCCTCTGGAAATGATAGTGCGGCCAGAAGAATGAATTGTCAAACGTTTGTGGCTGCTGCTGCTCAGAAACCCAGGGAAAATCCTGAGACAAAAACAAGTGGTTGACCTTGCTGCATGCACTGGGCATCATAACTCTCTTCCGAGTTCACGTACTCTGTATTTCACTGAAGAACTTCAAACCAACCCTCACTTAAATAAAAGCCTCACATACCTTGCATGAGTATCTTCTTCTACAAACTGCTACTACTTTGTCGATCCTCTCCAGCCTCTTGCTATGTAGCTTGACTCCAAACCTGGACAGAATATTGAAGAAGTGGCCTGACATTCACTTTTTAAGTTCTTCTGATATTTTGCAGTGAAATTCCTAATTACGAAATCTAGATCACTGGTAACCTTGTTGTTCGAAGATATACATTGTTAACCATACATAATGCTGCTTATGATTGCTTCAAGAACCATTTTTTTAGTTATGTCTTATCTAGTGACATTTAAGATTATTATTTATTAGTCAGATTTAAGATTATTATATATTAGTAATATTTAAGATGTGTATATGCAAAATTTACTTTCGTCAACACTGAAACTTATCTACCATTTGTCCAACTACGGCGTCAACCAGACATTTCTCAATGATTATACAATCAGTTTTGAATAACGCGCTTTTAATGTGTTAAAACACAGAAAGAGAAACAGAGACAAGTATCAAACCTAGTGACAAGTGAGCCTAGTATCAATTTCATACCTACAGGCTCACATCAACCGAACAACCTCTGCAGCAATGCGCCTTTGACAAATCTGAGTACCTTTCAGGAATTTCACCAATGAGCTGTATCAATAGGTTATTATTATTATTATTATTATTATTATTATTATTATTATTATTATTATTATTATTATTATTATTATTATTAATTATTATTATTATTATTATTATTATTATTATTATTATTATTATTATTATTATTATTATTATTATTATTATTATAGTGAGGCGTGTCTTAGCTTTTTTTATTTTTTACAGCCATTGTGTTTAGGCTGCCCTAGTCAGGTCTTCTGAACTAAAGGAAATCAAACAAGGGCAGTTCTGGTCCATATTTCGTCTGCTACATGAGTGAAATAATGAAGACAGCTTTTGGGAGACGTACGATAAGGCTCTTGGAGCAAGGAGAGAGAGGAACTATTAGCCACTAGCGAAGAGTTGTGTCGAGGAGCTGTGAACTGACCCCTGGAACCAGAAATAGGTGAGTACAGTGTGTCGCGCAGTGAAGTCTAGGTAGGTCTAGCACAACCCAGGCGGTAGCACAGGGTTAGTACCATGACACGAAATATAAAACCCAACAGGGCTTACAGAGCTTTTCACTGCCTATATATATTTGTCAGGCCCGTCTTAGATTATCCAGAACCAACATGGTACCCACTACTCATTAAACAACATAAGACACTGGACAAAGTGCATAGACATACATCGAGACTAGTCCCAGGGTTAAGAGACAAGAGCCGAGACGATCAGCTAAAGGAAATAAAGTAGAGAATTTTACAGGAAAGAAGAACAAAAAAAATGATAACAGCATACAAGATACTCATTGGAATTTATAGGATAGAAAAGGTATGACTCTTTGAAAGGCGAAAAAAACGTAAACGGGATCACAATTGGAAGTTAAAGACACAGAAGTGCCAATGGCATATCAGGAAGAAATTATTCTGCTTTGAGGTGGTACAGGAAGTGGAATGACTTGAGGATGTGGAAGCAAACTCCATACATAGTTTTAGGAGCAAGTGCGACAGAGCCCACAAGGGAAGGGATGTGTAAATCTAGCAAGCAGCAACTTGAGAGGTGTAGCCTGGAGCTGAGATTCGACCCCCACTGTCTTCATGTGGGTTATTAATAATAACTTATTACTGAGCATATACAGATAAGTACTCAAACATGTGTACAAGACATACATATAAACTGTGTTACTCACTACATGTCAAAAAATGGAATTCCCAGTAGTAGAACGAACAGAACAAAAAAGTGGGAGTCGTTCTTGGAAAAACTATGACTGGTAATACTTACCTGGCGGGTCTGGTGAGTGGTATATAAGGAGGCATCACCCTCAGCTTGACACAGTCGACCCAGAGATCCTCCACAACCATGAAGACTCTGGTTAGTTACATCTTGCTATTTTATACTAGTATTCTCAACAACTTTATATTTGTCGCCATTATTTTTACTCACATATATTATTTATCTAATTTCTCAAGCATATTAAGCATCTCTCTTCATAAGAATGAGGACGACCCATCAAATACCTCAGTATTTATGAAGGATACGTCAAGCACACTTAATTTACAACTAACAATATATAGTTAATATTCTTAACAGATGTAAAAACTTACATTGTTATGATATTGTGCTTATAAAAAACTATTTGTAAGAACAATAACTTTACACAGTATTTAAAACAATGATCATCTTTGCACGACAGTAATTAATAATATAAAATGTGTTGATCCACCAGGTTCTTTGCTGCCGTCCTGGCTGCCTTCTGCTTGGTGGCAACAAGCGCTGCTCCTGCTCCAGATGCTGAGCCTGGTCACTTTGGTCATCGAGGATTTGGGGGAGGCTTCGGTGGCTTTGGAGGCTTCAGGGGGGGATATGGTGGCTTTCGATACCGAGGAAAGAGAAGCGCTGAAGCTGATCCAGAGGCTCTAGCTGAGCCTGAAGCTGATCCCGGTCACTTTGGTCATCGCGGATTTGGTGGAGGCTTCGGTGGCTTTGGAGGTTTCGGAGGCTTCAGAGGAGGATATGGTGGATTCGGGCACGAGGAAAGAGAAGCGCTGAAGCTCTCGCTGAGCCTGAAGCAGATCCCGGTCACTTTGGTCATGGTGGCTTTGGAGGCTTCGGTAGTTTTGGAGGCTTTGGAGGCTTCCGACGCCCTTACTATGGATGAAAAACTGCTTCCTCGCTCGACACTCTTTCTTGACTATGACTGACGCTCATAAAATGTAATTTTGTTAATGCAATAAAGCAATTATTATGTTTTAAATATTTCTTTCTATTATCCAAAGCGAAATTTGGCCAACTTTCAACATGAAAATATTTCCAAACACATAATTAACTTTAGAAAATTCGTTCTTAGTAAAATAATTACACATAACAACACAAGAAAATTGACGAGTAATCTTTCATTGCCTTTGTGAAATTCTAAACCCTAATGACAATATAATTTAAAAAATAATTATGATAGCAACTAAGGTAACTATAAGCTCATATTTAGACTTAACAATGAGTCCTGGACACATAAGGGTTTTGTGTCACCTTAACACTGTTCTCTTATTTAAGTGACACAGTCGTCTAACAATATATTCGACCAATGGCGGCTTCAAATTTTTCACTATAATTACCTATTACTTGGTAAATGTTCGTGAAGGAAGTGATAATGTGGGTGATCTCTGTTCAATATTATGTAGACCTTCCCGAACTGGTTTCCATGAGATAACTTCAGAAAGCCTCTTCTGATCGGCTTCAGAATCTCAGCAATGGTGTATCATACGTAGAAGGTTGGTGTTAATGGAGAGTGTTGATGCTATTTTCTCGCTTTTAGTCTCAATATAGTATAGTAATATTTTCATGACTTAAGTGGATTAAGTTTTTTGAAAAGGGGGAGGGGGCTGCCTTGATGCTAGTCACAGGCTCTTGATGCAAGGAAGTCGACTTATCCTCTCTTTCTTGGATCAAATATGAATGCCTCTCATTCCACAAACACTACGTGTCCTCTACGGGTTTAGCGCTTTGTCTTAATTAGAATAAAACAATTGTGATCGTTATCAATCTCTAATGGCGGATGAATAAAATGAATGTATCGTTATTTGGGTATTTGTTGTTTAGGTATAAATTTTGTTGGATTCTGTGCAGTAATTATTAATGTATTTTCCTCAACGGAAACTTTCTCCTCATTTTTAATTGTGTGTGTTGTAATGTGTCAGTTTTATTAATGAAACTGGTTTCTGTTAAGTAACTGGAGAATATTTATCCTGATCTATTGATCATAAATAAATATCATTGTTTGACTTTGTTGGGCTAACTTAGGTTAAAGATATATAATAGGCTGTTTTCTGCCTGTTCAGTCTGTGTACTCTCAAGACCATTGTGCGTTACTTAGTGAAAACTAAAGTCCTGTCAAACCTAGTCAATCGTACTTAGAGTAAAGTTTGGATTGGTTCTGAATTGTGTAGGTCCCATATTGTTTTTAGAGACAGGGAAAGAAAACGAACTGGGAAAATTAAAATAATGCGATCATTTTTCATCCCTTCAGTGCTGATAACCTGATGATGCAATGTATGAGCAGCTTCAGGCTTAATGTGCTGGATTATTTTAGGACAATTGTTTCATCAGTTTAGCTTCAAAGTTACTTAGTCTTAGTAGAAGTACTGATTTGGATATCGACTATGTATGTACTAATTTGCCATTTTTAGTGAAGAAACTAGAATATTAGTTGTAATGTGAAGTTTTGTGAACACTTGTAATGATTATCTTTAAATCTTCAGCGCTAATATTTACCTGCATTACTAATGCCGTAATTTGCACTGTTGCAGTAGCGTGCAAATACAAGGGACTAGGGTTATTTAACGAGCGTAATGTTTCTGGTTAGCACCTGGAGTATACCTAGGGAGGGGGTTCGGGGATCAACACCCCCGCGGCCCGGTCTGTGACCAGGCTTCTCGGTGGATCTGCCCCTGATCAACCAGGATATTGCTGTTGTCTGCACGCAAACCGACGTACGAACCACAGCCCGGCTAATCAGGTAATTACTTTACTTGCCTGTTCAGTGCCTTGCAGTCCAAACATTTTGAAATATAGTTGTTGTTATTTGTTGGGTTTATCAGGGCCACTGACAATTTACGAGCCCGACTTGCCGATGTTAGGGGAAGATTTGTTGCCCAAACCTGGGCGATGAAAGAAAAAGAATGACAGGTCATTTGTAAATAGAAACAGAAGCTTGAAGTTTCCAATTACATCCGATGGACCCTCTTGCCAAGCCCCAACAAAGCAAGACGCCCACACTCCCTACCTGAGTTCAGTAACCGGCTTCCCACCAAAAACCGTTAGAGAATTACCTGCAGAACGGAAAAATGATCGGCTGAAGTAAGCTGGTGACCAGATGTTCAGGCTGAAAGTAAGCTGGCAGGCAAATAGACAAGGACAAGCGTTCCAGAGAGAACTGGGGAAATTTATCACCACGGTGCTTCATGGCCTGGTGGCTAAAGCTCTCGCTTCGCACGGCGAGGGTCCGGGTTCGATTCCCGGCGAGGGTAGAAACATTGGGTGTGTTTCCATACACCGGTTGTCTATGTTCACCCATCAGTAAAACAGGTACCTGGGAGTTAGTCGACTGGTGTGGGTCGCATCCTGGGACAAAACTGACTTAATTTGCTCGAAATGCTCAGCATAACAAGAGACTTTCTATATAGTAATGTGTCACTGATGTCAGCTATGGTCTGTATACCTTGTACATGTACTTGTAGTAAATAAAGATATTATTAATATTATTATTATTATTATTATTATTATTATTATTATACTCAGGCGAGAGAGAGACGTCCACACCAACGAACGCTGGCGCAGAAGTCCTTGAAATATAGTTACAAGTTGTTGATGCTGCTTCTTCTCTCATGTTTTTTTTTTTTTTCCTAAATTAAGAAGATAAGTGTTTACTCTTCACTGATCAGATGAAAATATTCTCGAGTTAATACATGGAAGCCTCTAGGAGGATTTTTTTTTTTTCAGTGAACTAAGGTATCCCATATTGAGGGATATCTAATAAACTCCATAAAGTAAATTTTTTGACTCTCTTATAAGTTCCAGTGTCGTTCACTACAGCTATCTTTTTTTTTTTTTTTTTTTTTTTTTTTTTTTTTTTTTACACAGGGTTTGACAAGGTTAAGGATCCCTAGCTTTATTGACAGCTATATTACAGGTTAAGGATTCCTAACTTTATTGGCAAGCTAAGAGCTGTTACCTACATCAGCTCATTTGAAAGCATTTTTATTGTTATGAGACATACAAGTATGGGACAGGATGAAGTTGGAGCCATCTGTGGGCAGCAGTTTTCATTTGATCAACTGACTTTATCTCGTGAATCATTATGCTGTCGAATGTGTTTCATACTCGAGTCATCCTGGGTATGTATGATCTCAGATGGAGTGATGTTCTGGAGAAGGGTACAGCCGAGTGAAGTTGCTGCCTTTCTGCCCGTCTTTGGCATAAAAGGTTTGTTTCACGCTGTCTCGAGTGGATCAATGTGTTGGTATTTTGACAATATTGGCCTTGTAATAACCAGTAGGCACCCACATTCCCTCTATGTTGAAGGACTCTGCTTGAAATGACAGATCTATCCAAAGTGGGTTCCAGGCGAGAGATGAGGACGTCTTCTCTGGTTCTCTACTCTGGTCAAAGCAGTGCGTGAGAGGGGGGGCAGGCAAACCAAGGAAAGTGGTGCATACTCAAGGTGTGAGCATACTTGGCTCATACAGGATCTTGAAACCCCTACTGTCAAGCAGATGCGAGTTACGGAGAAGAGAAGAGCTGTATAGCTTCCGGCTGCTTGTTTGCAAGATTTACAACTTGGTTCTTCATGGTTTTAGTTTGGAGTCAAATTTCACCCCAAGGATATCAACTTCTTCTTCCAGGTGACCAACATCTCCCATTCATCCTTACTACTGCACCGCTTACCCATCATGGTGCCTAGAGGACGATCATTTTTTTTTTTTTTTTTTTTATTTTTTTTTTCATTTTGCATTTTTAAGGTGCAAATGTTACTTGCCATCTATTTCCCCAAGCTGATATTGCTCGCAGTGGTGATTGATTGTAGCTTAGAGCAGTGCATTTCTTCTCTGGATAAGTCGAATGTCCAGTGTACAGTCGTCTTGCAATATGCATGTATTTGGGATGAGATGAACGAAGGTCGTTGAAGTAGACATTCCATAACAGTGGACCAGCACGCTTCCTTGTGGTACGCTTTGCCCCACAATAGGATGCTGCCTTGCTGATTTCTGTTTCCATTGTGGACTACACTTAGAGATCTACCATGAAGGTAATTCACTGAGGAGTCATAGCGTAGAGCCTGCAATTCCCAGTGCTTGAAGTTGTGCTAAGAGGCCCTGTGCCACACCCGGGTCGAAAGCGCCCAGCAACGTCCCCTGTTGCACATCACAGCTGACTTTGGCTTCATCCAGTGACTGGGGCCACTTAGTGGAGAGGTTTTGACAACAGATCAGCAGCAGAGTATCCTTTCCTGAAGAATATTGACGATCACATAAGTAGTGAGTGGTAGTCAAAAAAAAATTGTCATTTGTCTGGGAGATTATTGTCTCAAAGGAATTTACAGTGATTGACAGGAGTGACACTGGTCTGTTAGTTGCTGATTTCTGCTCTGCTCTTATTTTTGTGAACAGGGACTACATTTTTTTTTTTTGCCTCTTTCCTGGAGGAGGGCCATTACTTGTACTAGGAGTGCTGAAAGATGCAGAGTTAAGAGGTGCTGCTAGCTGGTTCTGCAACATCTTCTCAACAATTTGGGCTAACTTGTCTGGGCCACAGCCTTTTCTTGGTCAGTGATTTATAAGAAGGAAATTGCACCTCCTCCTGCTTATTGTCATCCACTGACAGTTTTGACACAGTTCTTGCAGCTAGCCAAGGAGGTCCCTTGCTGGGATCAGAGAACTTGCATTTGGTAGCAAAGTGTTCAGAAAGATGTCCGCATTCTCTTGACTACTAGTAGAGAGTGGTCCATCCTGTCCGATTTAGAGGTGAAATAAGCTTCATTCAGGCAGATAACCTTGTTCTGTCCTTGACCAGGGGATCCACCAGGTTTTGGAGCCTACCCTACCTGATTGCTAACTTTCTTTTAGTGTTCCACCTCCCACTTTTAGCAAATGGCCCACTTTTTGAAACATCACCCATATGCCTACGGCTTTGCCTGTGCAAGTTCCTGTTATAGGTGGTAGGATGTCTCTTATACCTTTCCGCCATGCTTTGTACTTAGCA